GGGGGCTACTTAAAAACATTGTTGTGCTGGTGTTCCCCGCCCACAGCTAATTGACCTTTAGGTAATTGGCTAATTGGCTTTAGGGAGCTCTTGAAGCGATTTTGAATCTGATGTATTTGTTGGTGTTGCTGACGCCTGCTTCACTGACATAAAAGCTAAAAAAGCATACTCAGCATCGCAAAAAGTGGGGGGCTCGACACCCCCAGTTTTCAAGAGTGGGGGGGTCACGACCCCCCCGACCCCCCCGTCGGCGACGCCCCTGAGTGAACTATAACTAAATTTGATAAAAAGTGGCACCATTGTAGCTTTGTTTGTTGCCTGTTGGCGTCCTTAAAGGGTTGAGAACGGTAGTCATTGTCGTGCCACTGACACAGTAAAAAAGACAGAGGCTCATTTGTTACGATAATTGATAGTTCCTAAATTAAATGAAAATGAGTCATATTCAACAAGGAATTCAGTAGCCTGCTTTTACTATGTAATTAAGCGGAGTGTTAGTGTAAGATCATCGGCTCTCGTTTGAGCTCCAGCAATACTTCAGTCCCCGCGGGGTACCGCACCGCACCAGGCAGTGTGGCACCCACACCGTGTACTGTACTCGTCATTTTGCGATCTTATTTAACGCTCATAATCCAATTTTAGCCAAGCTAATTATTGTATTGTTTGAAGGTGCATACCAGGAAACGTGTGCTGCATTCTGCGACAGAATTGTCCGTAACGAGTACTATGGGCCCCCTGTATCCAAGTTGTATATTGTCCGACATTTTAATTTGCTTATTTGTTTATTTTTTCATTATCAACAATAAGGGCACTGCAATAAAAGACAAACTCAGTCGACCACAGACAGATGGATCCTGTCCAGAGCCATAGCGAGAGCCAAAAGAACCAAACTGGCGCAAATTGAAAAAGAACCAAACTGGCGCAATCCAGTCATGTTAAACAGTTATCTTCCATACGGGGTATGAGTATCGTCATGAGCATTCCGCCTCGCGACTCGCCGCAGCCCCGGTCCCACTAGGCGTTGCGACCACTTACGACCGCCTACGACCCAAATCATTGCCGACCACCGCCGACCATCACCGAATGCTGCAGATCCATCGCAATTACGGTCACATATATAAAGGGTCGTCAATCATCGTACGACTAATCGCACAAGCGGTGGCAGACCATCGTACGAAGTTTGCCGAACCAAGAAAAAATTGGGGCATGAGTCGCACGAATGACGTGCGAAACTCGGTGACAGCCATGAGTACGTCATGCGATAGGTAACGACTGGCCGCTGACGACTGAAGATCTGTTCAAGACCTATCGCCGATTGCCGCACGATTGGTAAAGAGCGGATGTTCCGCTGACCATATTAGTGGCAAGGGGGGCTGTTAACATCCATCCCTGAGGCTTTCGGAAATATCTTCAAAACGACTGGAGCTATAGGATGCCGAAATTTTCTGACTTTTCTTAAAACTAAGCTGGGCACTTTTCCTGAAAATTTTAAGTTGATATCTTTATCAGGGGCGGTTCCAGGGCATGGGGAATCGGGAGGTCCTATTCGTGAAGCGAGTCGTTTAGTTAAAGATCACGATGCTGATGCATTATAACTGTAATTATTCATTATGTAGGTATATCAACATTATTTGTAGGTATAACAGCTTTAGAAGTGAACAAGAAACGGATCGTAGGCGGTTCCAGGGAAAAGGAGAAAAGGTACATATATGTTACCTTCCACCTTCGGTGCCCTGATGCCGCCTATGAATATTCAATCTAATTTAGGCATTTTATCACACGTTTTTGTATCATAATGAGATTATTAATTTGCCAGCCCGTTTTGGTGACAGCACCAACAAAACATCCGATTGATTATGTATTTCATGTGCCTCCAAATTTCATAACCTGTAGGAATCCGGCTATTAATTTTCGAAATGCTTATTTTTGTAATACATGTCAAATTCTGATTCATCCTGCATCGATCGGCAGTAGTCGCGTCAAAATTGGTTGAAAAACATGGCCATGGTGAGGAGTTAAAAAAGCATCTGAAATGTGTAGTTTCTATCCCCCTCCTACCTTTTTTTTGACTTCCTTTCTTCAAAATGTAGATCACGTTGAGGGAATCGAATGCCATTCGAATTTTGAAAATCGGCAGGTTATATTTTGACACCTGCCGCATTTTCGGGTCAGGTCAGGTCATTGACCTATGGCGTCAGAAGTGAACCTCTGCACGATCTTCAGAGGTCGCAACTTCGCAACGCTCTCAGTGCCAGAGGAGCTTTCACAAGGAGATTAAACTTACAGGACGTAGTAGAGGTCTCACAACTTGTACACCTCAGATTTTTCCTAAAGGTCACATGACGAAAGGTCGGCTACGTGACCTCTCCATTTCAAGTCAATGGGGGAAAATAAAAACTGCTATTTTGACGCTGGGAAAGATCTTAAGCTATCCCAACCCCAAGCATATCGAGTCGTGATTTCATGCACTCTTTGCAAGTTTGATGCGTCACTTTTGTATTGTTAATGACGTCACTAGGGTCATATTAGTTTTTCGTCAATAACTCCCGATTCAATTGAACTAGCGAGTCGGGAGAGCCACCAATGGACTTAAAAGACCTGCCAAATTAAAAGATATGCGACATGACCTCATTCGACAAACTTCGTGACCTGTAAGCCCTGGCCTGACCGTGACCTGAGTTCAACCCCAACAAAAAGTATATCATTCGACAAGTCTCAACAAGGCGAACACGATGATGTCAAAATCGCGGCTTTGCGGCCTCTTTTAGCCAAGTTATTCATCAAAAACTGAACCCATAACTTTGGCACTTGACCTGACGTAAGATGTCACCGGTTGACCAAGACCTTATAATCGGGTGTCAATAACTGTATCTCGTAACGGCGCACCCGCTTGTTTTTCCTGAGACGCGCTAGCTCCATCAGAGGCGAAACGGGGAGGGGGGTCGTACCCGCCCCCCCCCCCTTCGCCGGCGCGTAGAAGAAAACCAATATGTCCGGCGATGGTTAAGATCTCGTTCTTTTCCAGAGTCAACTGTTCAGCAATTTTCTTTTTCTCGGTCACGTTCCGTGTCGTGTCCTTCGTGTTCTGGAGCTGGGCCGCCTGGAATGGTCAGTATTTTTGGGTCGGATCCCACCTCCGACTCGTGGGAGGCACTACATAGTAGGCGGTGCATCATTTCTTATTTCTTATTGCGGTTTTTATTTGAAAATCTACTGAAAATGGACGATTTTTTACGCATCCCCTTCATCGTCTACGGCTGATCTCAAAGTGAGAGCACTACATATGTTCGCGGCCGTGTGATAAGGGTCGGTATGAGATCTGAGATGTCCGTACCACTGTCGTCGACTAATTTCCGACTAGTGCCGTGCAATCGGCCACCATCGTGCGATTGCTCGGCGATCGAACCTTGGTGGTCTCGCGACTGGTTGCTGATGTTGGGAAGAACGTCTTGCGATTATCGGCGACTTGCATACGACCGCCGACCGCTCCCGACTAGGCCCGCGACCACCGAAACCTGTCGTGCGATACTCGCCCTCCTACTAGCGAACAATGAAATACTTGTTGCGGTTTCTCGCGAACTCTTTGCGACCAAATCGGTCGCCAGGAGGTTTTTAGTGCATCATCAAAAACCTCTCGGCGACCAAAATGACCTCGCGACGTCTGAAGACAAGTCGTTCATATCAACATCCAATCGTACGAGCTCTTGAAGAATTGCGACAACCTTTTGCCGACCACCGATCGTGGGCGGTCGTAAGTGGTCGCATCGCCTAGTGGGACCGGGGCTTTAGATTCCTCGGAAAAGAGTGGTATTGATTCATTTTCACTAAGAATCTGTATTTTCAGTTTCAGCACTTATCTTAGGGGTGGGCGCAGGGCGCAGTTCACCGGAAGCTATTGACTGAAGAGGACTCATCTTTATTGACGTGGTTTCCTGGAAAGAGGCGGCATATCGCCTGACAGGGTCTGCGAACTTTGATGAGCTCTCAGACAACGTGAACACGCTCGTTCAAAGCATCTATAAACACGGCCTTTTTTCTTTCATGTCATCCGAAGCGTAGCATTTCGTACCGTAAGCTCGTTGATGCCGATCAAAAGGAGACGTGCATCCGTGAAAATACACCGTAACATCCGCAGCAGAATGAATGTGTGCTAAATCGTCCCATCAAAGTTCCGATAGATCTCTGCTGGGCCATTTCCAAAGTGGTTAGTGGACACGTCTTGTTACGAAACAATGAAAGAGATCTTAACTAGCTATAATAAACTGAAAAATGTAGCTTTGTTTGGGTGTGGATCACGATCCACTACAAATCCAGGCAAAACAAATTGACAAAAATCGACTAGGTGTTTGCACTTTTCGTGAGTTCTTTCATGCGTTAAGAAAAGGCCTATCGTAGGCTATAAATATAGCATCAATATTCATTTGCAATAAATAAATCTTCGTGCTAGTCGACAGTAAAAAAGCTTGTACTCATCTGTCACTAAGATCATCAGCTTCAAGTTACACAGTTTTTCGCCGTTTCTACTGTTAACACCAAACAAAGTTTGTTGAATGATACTGCCGAAAGAAAACTGCTTGCGTATCTTTAGGAATTAATGTTCGGCTGAGTGACTCGAATGTCATCCGCAGGCGTGCGCGTCGATCCGCATATGTTGAAGCCGTGGGCATGTCGATTGCTTTTAGGATCAAAAGACCTGCCTTGGGGGGCTGTACATTGACTGCAGCCAGCGGGTGGGAGCTCTTGGCCGATAAATCGTATCGTATTACATCTGAGGCTTGAACGGACTCTGAAGCCCGAAGGACTCGGCTGCTGCTGCTTACACGTCTGGGCCCAGCTACTCCAGGGACTTCTTTCGACAAACATCCTCCGTGGAGAGCAATATCTAGAAGCCACCCACACCGCTCGGGTTTCAATAAGCCCATTTCATCTCGCCTCCGCTCTCCGTTCGACCCAGCGGTGAGTCTTCCTCGACCCACACGATCTGTGATCGCCACCAAAACACGTTCTCCACTCAGCTTGTATTGCAGCGTTGCCACAGACAAGACGAGCGGATACACACCGTCCCACCGAGACGGCCGACACCAACCCAACACCCGGCGTCCCACGCCGAGACGACGACTCTACAACAACCGAGACGGGGGCGGGGGGCGGGCGCCGCGGCTCCGATTAACAGGTGTGGCTGGAGGGGACCTGCAATCGGGGTCACGGGCCCGCGGGGGCCCGCAGGCCCGCTCCGAGGCGCGCAGAGGGCCGGAAGGGGCGCGTCAGAGCCGGCCTGCGGGCGCGGCGGGTGGACGACCGCCGGCCGCTTACTTCCTCTTGCGACCCCAGGCCTGGAACAGGCCGCCGCGCATGCACTTGCAGTTGCTGCCCCAGAGGTTGCAGCGGCACGTTCCGTTGCCGCAGCAGTCGTGGGGCCGGGCGTCACACGAGTTGCCGCGGCGAATGCACGAACGCCTGTAGACGTACACGAACGGAGAGCGTCTGAACAGAACATTAGAACGGCTCAGTGGCGGCACGGCCCAGTGGCCAACAGAGACAGCAGGGGCGGGAGGGTGGCCCACAGTAGTCAACAGCGACATCGGGAGCGCTCTACAGGGGTCAAATGGACTGCGGGAAGGGGACGACTAGGCACGCACGACAAGGGAAGTGACAGCATGGCGCAATGAAGTGTTTTAGAAGTGTTTCAGTCAGGTGGATTAGGATGTGTAAGGGATGGCCATACATACAAAATGAGCCATAGGCGCGGGAACCGGGAGGTGGGGGTGGGGGCGGTGCCCCTACAACTTTGAGACGGATACGGTACTTTTTTTGCAAATGTTTTCTTTTGTTGTTGAAAAAGCCATGGGATGAAAAATAAGTGGCCTAAAACCGGTGAGAAAACTAGATTTGGGGGGACCCTAGGTTTATCTCTATCATGGCGTGCCCCCCCCCCCCCCACTCTGAAACTAGTTCCCGCGCCCCTGAAATGAACATATAAAGACGTTGGTGGTCACAGTCATCTTCAAGGTAATTATGTTCAAAATTAAAAGCTACAAATACGTTCTCCCTTGTTCACTAAGTTCAGCTAGGCGGGTGATTGACTATATCTGAGGTCTTGGATACATTAGCTCAGAGCCATTGCAATTTTTCGCTTGTAAATTTTCAGAACAACTATGTTTTCTAACCTCCCATATAATAGCTACGAGAAGATCAACCCCCGAGGAGTCCCCTGGAATTATTTACGCACAGTTGCATTCCTTGCATTCAACTTTTGTTGGCTCCCTCACCCGGTCCTTAGGTCCACGGTTGATCAGGCGCCACCGCAGCTAATACGCAGTTAGCACGACATCTCCCCATTGCACAGTGATGCAAATGGGGTTCACGAGTGGCCATAAATACGAAAAAGGCCCAAAATTCAAGTTCACTTAATCGAATAAATCGTAATATGGTCAGTCAGGCAAATGTTTGGGGTGTCTGAAAAAGTATGATTTTAATGTTTTTGTCAAAGCCGGCCTCGTGTATGATTGTCAGAAGTCGAGACATTTTCGATGTCGTAAAATGACTGTCAGGTACTTGAAATTCAAGTGCCGCTGGCGTGCGTTCATGTCACACAAACTGCAAAAATTATACAAGAAAATGATCCCCGAAACCTGCTGCTTCTAATGCCACGTCATAAAAAGGCGTATCTATTTTGGTTTGGCGGTGAGCTAACTATTTGTAATCATGTTGCAACCGCAGTTTTTTACCAAAAATATTTGCTTTCAATTCACCTACAGCACTTCACACAGTGTGTGCCCGTTAGTGCACCATATCATAGCATTCCCTAATCATTTCTGAGTCGCATAGTGAAAGAATTAAGGCGCTAGCACAGGGCTGACCGGCGCTACAGAAGTTTTCGTCCGGCACGGTCGGGTGCCGTGGCGCAGCGGGCGGCCCGGGTGGCCGCGCCGCCGCGCCGCCCGGACGCCGCGCGACGGCACCCACCCGCCCACTGCGAGCCCACTGCGGCGCCCGACCGCCCGGACAAAAACCTCTGTAGCGCCGGTCAGCCCTGTGCTAGCACCTTAATTCTTTCACGATGCGACTCAGAAATGATTAGGGAAGGCTATGGTATGGTGGACTAACGGGCACACACTGTGTTAAGTGCTGTAGGTGAAACGAAAGCATTTTTTTCTTAGTAAAAAACTGCGATTGCAACATGATGATAAATAGTCAGATTACCGCCAAAGCGAATGAGATACGGCTTTTTGTGACCCGGCATTAGAAGCAGAAGGCTTTGGGGATCATTCCCATGCATATTTTTTTCAATTTGTACGAAATGAACGCAAACCAGCGGCGTTTGAACTTGCGAGTGTCTGACCGTCATTTTACGACCTAGAAAATGTCACGACTTCTGACGATAATACACGAGGCCGGTTTTGACAAAAACATGAACACCATGTGATTTCAGATGCCCCAAACATTTGCCTACTCGGCCATATCGCAATTAACTCGATTTGGTAAACTTGACTTTTGGGTATTTATGGCCACTCGTGAACCCCATTTGCATCACTGTGCATTGTCAGCAAAGGCTGTGTGTTCCGCCCAAGTCATTCTGCCCACGTGTGCGTGTTTTTGTCCGCATTCATGTCCGGAGGATATTAACCCGCGCCCCGCTGGGGGGGGGGGGCAGAATCTGCCCCCCTCCCGTTTTTCGCCAATAACTTCTAAACGCGTTACGCCAGCGACGTCAAACTTTCAGTACCTTATCATACATCAATTTGACACGTTCCCTGAAAATGTGAGCGAAATCCGTCGGCAAATTTTTGAGAAATTGACGTTTTAGTGACGTCATGTTCGCCATTTTCGCCTCAAAAATGGCAAAATTTCAAACGCCGCTAACATCTTCATTTTTAAAGGAATCAAGACGTAACAAAAAAGGTTATACGTGATTCTACTTTGTCTATCAAATGGCTATCTCGGTTTTTTGAAAATTTTGGATTTTGGCCCAAATTTTTTCAAAAAACTGACTTTTTTGGGAAAATATTTATAAAATCCAAAATTTTGAGTGTATCGAAAAAACCGGAATATATGTCAAAGAAGTGGTCTATGTGCACCTACATACCAATTTCTAGAAGAATCGGTTCAAAAATGTGGGAGTTATTCAAAATTTTATGACGTCACGACAGACAAAAATTTTGAAAAATGATTTTTTTTGGAAGTTCTGGACCTCGTACGGAAACAAAAATAGCACCATTCGATTCGCCGTGAAAAACTGCATCAGATAGACACCTTTTTAGGCCTTAACAACCAACTTCAAAATTTGACCTCACTTGACCTGACCTTGACCTGACCTCGACCTGAAATTCATCCAGAGGTGGTCCATATCACTTATTGAGTGCGCCTATTGAATTATATGAGTAAAATGACCCATAAAACATGTGTCGCACATGCCCTTTTCTATATTTTGTTTTTGGTGACCTGACCTGACCTGACCTGACCTTGACCTTGACCTTTGAATGACATTGTATGCAACGAATATTGTCTTGGTAGTCTAAGAACACGTTTTGGGCAATCAGTCTCACTCCATTCTTCGGCAACTACGGTGCAAGGCCGATACTGTAGAAACTTGCATCTTGTACCCTTGACCTGACCTTGACCTGACCTCTGACCTACTTAAGCAAAAAAATTTGGGCTCTTAAGATCCGCCTTGTTGAGAGCTTTCGATTGCCGTTTTCCCCGTCTTTCTACGACCATCGGTTCGGAAGTTAGACAGGGGGGGCAGAATCTGCCCCCCCCCCCCCCCCCCCAGCAGGGCGCGTATGGCTGAATAGCCCAGCGGGGCGCGGGTTAAACCTTGGCGATCAGCTAACACGCAACGACATTACGTGTCGCTGCGGGGACATTCTTATGATTTCTGCTACCCATTAATGACGTCATGATCACCACCCACGGCTCCGAGTCAGCCACTCTGTGACGTCACGCCCATGCTATGACGAGCAAATATGACGTCAAGGAACCAATGGGGATGCATGACGGACCAGCACGGCTGCGGCTGAGAAGCGCCGGTGTGACGACACAACCGCTGCCCTTTCGGTGCACATCCGTCAGCATTCTGACGTATTCGGGACGTCACTGCGCATTTTGTCGGGAGCCCACCGCGCGTTATTCGGTAAGTATTTTGTAAGTGTCATTAAAAGGGGAGAATAGGAAGGAAATGGAATGGACAAGGAAGCAAGGGAAGGGAGAAGGATCAAGGGTTAACAGCGATATTGAGGGGCCGGACAAAAACGACGACTGAGGGCGAATGAGCTGGATGGGCCAATGTGCTCCATGTGGGCGAATGGTAAATGTTCTAGTAGTAAATGTTCGCACCCATGAAAAACGATATCGTATTCGTAGTAGGTTTTTATCTGTTTGGTATAATTACTAAATCGTTTGCCAAATTTTCAGAATCTTATTCAACGTTGCGCATACAAGACCCACGGTAAAAGCGAAAATGCACTCAGCATTCATCATTCCTGGTTGGTACCTACATCTACGAAAACAATTCTTAACCACTCTGTCCTACTTGCCAAATCATTTTGTTTCGAGTTATTAGTGTAATGGAGTATGGCTGTGTGCTTATTTAATAACCACTTCATAACATAGTGACAGCTATCGACCGATGGCAAAGCCAGCTGTCAATGCGAATGTCAAAAACATTTGGCGGCCATCACAAGTCCAGAGTCTCCCTAATGAAATATGTTGGTTCCAAGTGGATTGCACGACACAAACATTTTTAATGTTAGGCATGACACGACATTCATGTATTAAATTCAGACCGGTTTCGAATCACAAGATTCATCTTCAGTGACAAAACTCTTTTCAAATTGATACAGGACACATATTCAAACACACTTTTGATCATAAAATATATCGCACACGCACATGCAATAGTTCGAGTTCAGCTTCGAATTAGAAAACTGCCTAATGCAATTAAAAGTACAATGACGTACACAACGAAACAGCTACAGAGAAGAAGCAGTACATTCCCTGATTTAAGAATTCTGGAATCGTTGTATATTCATCGTCTGAGGCCGCAAATCAACGACATGTCCTCGGCGTATCCACTACGTATCACTGCTTAACTGTGTACTTTTATGTAGCTGTTTCGTTGTGTACGTCATTGTACTTTTAATTGCATTAGGCAGTTTTCTAATTCGAAGCTGAACTCGAACTATTGCATGTGCGTGTGCGATATATTTTATGATCAAAAGTGTGTTTGAATATGTGTCCTGTATCAATTTGAAAAGAGTTTTGTCACTGAAGATGAATCTTGTGATTCGAAACCGGTCTGAATTTAATACATGAATGTCGTGTCATGCCTAACATTAAACATTTTTAACATAATTGTCTTCAGATGTCTAGGCAATATTGCCAATTCACCATACCGTAGGGGAAGTTACATTCCATCATAGATTCTTGCGATACTTCAATATTCATTGCCACACCTTCTGACGAGAATTATAGCATAAGCGTTTGACTCGTAACGGAGGAGCCACCGCAGCCATATTCGGTATTCCCATCATCCGCCCAGCCTGGCGCCCTAGCAACGCCAGGTATGTTTCTCATATGGGGTGACCTGTGACAGGGGGAGGGCTGGGGGGGGGGGCGGGGAGTTGGGGGTCTGGCGGCGGGCTCATTCGTCCGGTCGGCTGCCATTAGCCGGGTACGCTGTCAGCGCCGCTCGGCCGCTATATTGGATGACGTGCTCTGTGGTGTATGATGAACGGACGGGCTACGTGGCCACCCGGAGAGGAACATGGCAGACGGACGGGGAAGGCGGGAGAGGGAGACGGGGAAGACGGATATCAGGGAGTGGGGAGGGAGATGGGACGTGGGAAATGAATAGGGAGACGAATGTAGAGATGGACAGGAAAATGGGGAGGAAGGGAGACGAATATAGGGAGCAAGTAGGGAGACTGGTAAGACGATGGGTAAGGGAGACGGACTAGGCAGACGGTCGAGAGAGATCAGGAGGAGAGACAGGCGCGGATCCAGGGGGGCGACGGGGGCGGCCGCCCCCCCCCCCCCCGACATCCGAAAAAGGCACCCATAGCCCGCGGCAGAGAGGGCGCCCCGAGCAAAACAGAGGCGACACAGCAAAGGTTGAGCAGAAATAGGGCGCCTCCAGCAGAAGTTGGGCTCACCAAGCAGGAGAGCGACGCCCAATTGCCCATTCCCAGCAGATCAGAGTCGCCCCAGAAGCAGATGGGCGCCCCCAGCAGAAGAGAGGCGTCTTATTACAAGAATAAAAAGATGCCTTCTGTTCAAGAGGGGCACTCCTGGCAGGAGAGGTGTCCCCCTGAAGAGGAGCGACGCCCCAGCAAAAGTAGAGAGGCGCCCCCATTCCAAGAAGAAGAGGGGCGCCCTAACCGCAGATAGGCGCCCCAACAAACTACAAAGAAAAAGAGAAGCCCTATAATAGAAAAATGGGTGCCACTGGCAGAAAAGGGGCGCCCCCGGCAGCGGAGGGGGCCCAGCAGGAGAAAGGAGCCTCCAGCAGGAGACGGGCGCCCCAGCGAAGGGGGGCGCCCCAGCAGAAGAGAGGAGCCCCCTGCAGGAGAGGGGCGCCCTCAGCAGAAGAGGGGCGCCCTCAGCAGGCTGAGGGCGCCCCAGCAGAAGAGAGGCGCCACAGCAAAAGTTGATCAGAGATGGGGAGCCTTCAGCAGAGGTTGGGCTCGCCAAGCAGGATAGGGGCGGCCCATTGACAATATCCGGCAGAAGACAGACGCCCCAGCAGCAGATGGGCGCCCCCGGTAGAAGAGGGGCGCCTCATTACAAGAAGAAAAGGAGTATATTCTGCACAAGAGGGGCGCCCCTGAGGCAGCGGAAGGGCAACCCCAGCAGAGGGGCTGTGCCCCAGTAAAAGGAGAGTGGTGCCCCGCTCCGAGCAGAAGAGGGGCGCCCAAGCAAAAAGAGGAGCCCCATAAGAAGAAAGAGGATGCCTCTGGCAGGAGAGAGACGTCCCCCGCAGTGGAAGGGCGCCCCCAGAAGAGGCGTCTCTAGCAAAAGATAAGTGCCCCTGCAGGAGAGGGGCACCCCAGCAAAAGTTGGGCAGAAATGGGGCGCCCCCAGCAGAATTTGGGGTCGCCGAACAGGAAAGGGCCGCCCCATTCACAGTAGAAAAAGGGACTCCCCAGCAGCAAAGGCGTGCCCTAACAGAAAAGGTGCACTCCCAGTAGAAGCGGGACGCATCAAGAAGAAGAGGGGCACTTCTAGCAAAAAAAAAAAAAATGGGCGTCCCAGATAAGTGGGCCGCCTACAGCAAATTGGTCGTTCTTAGAAGAAATGAGGCGACTTTAGCAAAGTGAGCCTCCCCATGACGGATTGGGCGATCCAAGTAGAGGTTGGGCGCAAATATCTTTAAAACGGCGGCAGCCGTCTTAAAGATATTTGCGAAAAACCTAGGGGGACGTGACAACGCACGGCGTGGGTTTTAAACTCTCGATTTTGACGACGGTTTGGCGCCCCCGGATTGCCAGGTCGCCCCTATTTCAACTTGCCGCCCCCCCCCCCTCCCGAAAATTCCTGGATCCGCCCCTGAGGAGAGACAAATACGGAAGATGGCTAGAAGGATGGGAATGGCAGACGGGAAGCGAGGTTGATGTTGGGCTAGAAAACGGGTTGGAGCCACCAGGAGAGGGGTGAGTGGAATCCACATACTGAAAAGGCGGAGCTGGGAGGCGGTCAGGGTGGCCGGACAGGGAATACGGCTGGCGGAGGGGCAGAGACATGCAGGACTGCGGGCTAGACGGAAAGGTAGAGGCACTCCCACGAATTTCGCGAATTTAGAGAGATGAATATGGGAGATAGGGGGGGGGACTCATTGCGTCTCAGGCTTTCCAAGTTTTGTTGTATCTAATTCTAGACGATTCGAGTGATATTGTGATTACATGTTACACGCAGGAGAGACATTACACATTACACAAGAGAGATGGAAATTGAGGATCAAATAAGGACGGAGAAACAGTTACCTACATATCAGCGAAGATGTCAGATAGGTAGACGGAAGAGACGGCTGTGGAGGTATAGCTTGCAGACCTCGCCATTACAATAAATTACAATAATGTTTTCTTAACATGTCCAGCTTTTTTCAGCGTCATTCAAATACTTACTTCTGTGCTGACTTCCTTAAAAGATTTGCGAGTAGGTTAGAGTATTCGTCCATTTCTAGCGGCATTTCTTGTTCGCTGCCTCCAACTGAGAACAAAGAGACAAATGTCAGTTTCATATGCACGCGGTTACATTCGTGGGGAATATTTGAAATTGAGTCCCTTTCTTTATTTTATAAAGACGAAGGAATATCACATGTGTCAGATGAAGGAAGGAAGACCTTGAAACTAGGGTCCTCTTTGATCACACAACGATGAGTTTCAATGAAGTTCACACCACTTTGCCGCAAATTTCTTCAGCCTTTCACAGCAGCCATTACCATCTACATTACCAACCACTTCACAACATAGCAAATATGATCAAATCAGGAATCCGAGCTGTGTACTTGTACGAATTAAGTGCCAGCCACAAAACAAGCATGAACTTTTACATAGCATATCGATGCTGCTATTCGTTCGTTCGGTGTATGAAGACTATAGAGGCGTATTGCCTGAGCCTATGCAACGTATGTTTCAAAAAGTCGGATGCGGGCCAGCCAGACAAGTGGATTGGATGGACGCTGCTTGCGAAGCTCAAGCCAAAGAGAAACATTTTCAGGCACGGCGTTCACCCGGCTTCATAGCATCATGGAACTTGAAAAGGTGTCACATACAGTTTGTCTAGTCGACGTTTTTACAGCAAAGAAAAGGGTGTTTTGTTTTTGACTGCCGAGTGGCGTGCAGCATCGATCCTCGGCGGCGTCTGTGTGCCTACTGCGCCGTTCGTGTGAACAACGAAAAAACAACTGTCATTTCGCAGCGACGGGCTCACTGGAGGAAAACGGCTCGCGTTCGTTGGCATTTGCTACAATTATGTCGCTCGTGAATGCTTTCTAGACTGGTTAAACATTCTCCTGTGATTAGTCATATCAGTTCTGACATGTAATCCCGCAACGGGGTATGTAGTAGTGGTGTCAATTTCAGAAAACGTACGTCCAATGTCCGTCCAATGTCCAATACTTACGTCGACTGTCCGTCCAAAAATGTCCAAGCCAGCCATTTGTCCAAAGATGTCCGACATCTACGCAATAGTTTACACCCAACACCGTTATTTAATTTGCTTTTAATGTATCGTTACCAGCTCAAAAGTGTTAATCATATAGAAAGCTAAGCTTTCTAATAGCCAATCAATGTTAAACACGATTACTTTATAAAAATGTTGAGGTGTAGCAAGCTATTGTCCAAAGTTGTCCAAAGCCTGCTGTCATTGTCCAACCGAATTCCGAATTGGACATTGGACAAAATCGGAATTCCGAAGATTCAAGTACCGATTGACACCACTAGTATGTAGTACAGGATAGAACTAGCAGAAGATTGCAAAATAAAGTCGAACATGAGGCGAGTTAGTTCTATGTACATTCTAGGACTGTTTCGGATATATACTGTGCAAAGAAAAAATGGAGGGGAAGTGGCCTGAAATGAATGCAAGTGTACGTCATTTGTGATTCAATAAATATGTAACGATCAATCATCCGCTAGCAAAACATAGAATTATCCCCGGGTTTGTCATTCTTGAATTATTGAGATATATTTCAAGTTTACTCGGGAAACGGTGCCCTTTATGTTTCGTCCTTTTTTGAAGTCATAGACTGACGTGAGATTGACGTATTGTGGCCGGATCCAGACGAATTAACGAACTACGCAGATTGTAACGACGACACACACCATTAGAGCAGCGTGTGCTAACGAGTCTGAAACTCGACATGAGCCGTACTAACGCGCCTTTTAATGTTCTACATCAGTGACATGCACACTGCCCGGCAAGAACCTACGCCGTACCTGTAATGGCATGTTTGATATTAGGCAGGATAAAACGTTATGTAACTTTATACCGTGCTATTTGTGACTAGTTACCACAGAGCAACTGTACTAGTCTGTTAATCATTCAAACGCTAGTTCACTCCACATTCATAATGTACTAATGGAACAGGTGTAAAGCAGGTGGTTTAACGTTCAAGTGGACAGAGTTGTAGACATTGTAGCAGCTAGTCCAGCTGTCATTTTATGCTCACAGACATCGGCCGTTCTACATAGTCCGACAGCGTAAGGGGCAAACCAGCTCACCTTTGGCCTCTAATTGAGACGTTGATAGTGAACAAACGAGCGTACTTTTCTATACGAGCCAAAGTTATCCTTGAACTCCCCGCGTTAGCTGAATAATCCATTATGTCCGACAAATTTCACGAAAGACTAGGAAGCCATGTCTTTCGCGTGAGATTAATCCAACATGACGTTCGCACGTGTGGTATTCTATCAGAAAACACACAGCTAATCTATTAGACCAGTTGAATTGTTATGAGTGACGGCATCAATTGTTAGCACAATACATGCCACATCATTTGAAGCCAATTTCGGTGAAACGTGATCGTCAGCGATCGGTGCTATGTGGACGGGTGCGATAATTAAACATGCATCCTTGGCAATCGATGTATTGAGCTGCTATCGAGATTCTATTCAATAAGTCAAACGGCAACTGATGTCGTCCTGTCGCAGGAACACGATACGGGCCACGTTATAGGTCACATAGGTAGGGCCGCGAACGAGCAACAGAGGTCGTGTGCTTGTTTCAGATAAATCATCGCGATGTGTGCGGTTTTGTTAGACGCATGCGTGCAAAGTCAAACTGTGAGGTGAGACAGTGATCTGTATGTAGTGAAAAGAGAAAAGCAGAGCGATGATGTTCGTACGGGTGATGCAACCATGCACTTTTTATCACAAAGGAATTCAATAGCGCATACTCCCACAAGCGGTAAGCGTGGGCTCACCCAAAGCACTGCACCGAAGGAACAGACAGAAAGGAGCGGCTTTACCCTAGGGTACACTTTTGATGCCCTAACCGGTCGGAGGTGATGCTCGGTATACTGAGCGGTGGTCTGCTATCACCAACAGAACCATTCCGACCGGGAAACCCGTGTCACCTAATATCAGGCCATCACCGGCACCAACAACACAGCAGCGCCTGACATCAGCACCGCTGCCTGGATGTCATTGCCGACATGCTCGCTGGAATTAGGCTTGTGGGAGCGCAAAAAGTCCAGGTTTTAACGATGAACTTTTAGTGTTTACTTTTAATGAAGCTGTCAGCCTAGTTCTAAATAAGTGTTCGTTAACCCGCGCGGGGCTGGGGTCTCCAGCCGAACGCGCGGGGCTGGGGGGGGGGGTAAATTTTACCCCCCCTGTTATCTCCCGAACTAATGGTCCGATTTGGAAAATTCAAACGCCAATCGAAAGCTCTCATCACGAACTACAAAAAACATGTACTTAATTTAAAGTTTGAGGTCAAGGTCAAGGTCAGGTCAAGGGTACAAATTGCAAGTTTCTACAGTATCGGCCTTGCACCGTAGTTGCCGAAGAATGGAGTCATGGACTGAGACTGATCGCCCAAAACGTGTTCTTAGGCTACCAAGACAATACTCGTTGCATACAATATCATTCAGAGGTCAAGGTCAAGGTCAGGTCAGGTCAGGTCAGGTCATCAAAAAACAAAATATAGAAAAGGGCATGTGCGACACATGTTTTATGGGTCATTTTACTCATAGAATTCAATAGGCACACTCAATAAGTGATATGGACCACCTCTGGATGAATTTCAGGTCGAGGTCAGGTCAAGGTCAGGTCAAGTGAGGTCAAATTTTGAAGTTGGTTGTTAAGGCCTAAAAAGGTGTCTATCTGATGCAGTTTTTTACGGCGAATCGAATGGTGCTATTTTTGTTTCCGTACGAGGTCTAGAACTTCCAAAAAAGTCATTTTTCAAAAAATTTGTGTGTCGTGACGTCATAAAATTTTGAATAACTCCCACATTTTTGAACCGATTCTTCTAAAATTTGGTATGTAGGTGCACATAGACCACTTCTCTGACATATATTCCGGTTTTTTCGATAGACTCAAAATTTTGGATTTTATAATGATTTTCCAAAAAAAAATCAGTTTTTTGAAAAAATTTAGGCCAAAATCCAAAATTTTCAAAAAACCGAGATAGCCATTTGATAGACAAAGTAAAATTACGTATAACCTTTTTTGTTACGTCTTGATTCCTTTAAAAATGAAGATGTTAGCGGCGTTTGAACTTTTGCCGTTTTTGAGGCGAAAATGGCGAACATGACGTCACTAAAACATCAATTTCTCAAAAATTTTCCGACGGATTTCGCTCAAATTTTCAGGGAACGTGTCAAATTGATGTAAGAAAAGGTACTGAAAGTTTGGCGGCGCTGCGCGCCGCCGTTTTTGAGATATCGCAAAAATTCGCGAGGGGGGGTAAAATTTACCCCCCCAGCCCCGCGCGGGTTAACAACTGATTTATTGTTAACAAAAAAAAACTCGTAGAATTTTCGTAAGTGCAAATATAATATAAATATTATAGCATCAAAACATAAATATTTTAGCATCAAAACACAAGACGCTTTGAAAATGGCTGTAATATTCCGCCCATAACAGTTCAATGCACCGTTCCATATCAATTGATTGACTTAACTGTCCCAACTCCGGCACTCAAACTCCGTTTTACTGCGGACGAAATAGCGATCATTGGAGAAATCCCGTTGCAACATCCGCCTTGAGGCAGCATTTCCGAATCGCATACAAAATGAATGGACCTGATCATCGCCGATTTATCAGCATATTCATACTTCGTTAGTTACCTTAGCCCGCGCACCGACGGGGGTCTGCGCCAACTTAGTACCGACGGGGGGGGGGGGCGGATGACCGCCCCCCCTGAGATCTCGAGAACGAAGCAAGATAGCGACAAGCGGTAAACGGCATCGGATACGCACGGTCAAGATCTACAATTTTTACTAAGGTCATTTTCAGGTCAGGTCAAAGATGACGTCACAGGGGTCGAAAAAGTCAAAATGGCGGCGCTAAATATGGAGAGAGTTTTTCTCGAATAACTTTCGAATTAGTCAAGATAAGAACAAACTAAGGGCATCATCGTGATCCTCTCGTCAATCCGCATCGAATGATATATATGTTGACCTCGAAAGGTCAAGGTCAAAGGTTGACCTCAGGTCACGTGACCTCGAGGTCATCATGTATATCATTCGATGCGTCTTG